GGCCCGTGTTGGGGGGACCAGCAGCCTGCTGGGGTGAGGGGTGTGCACAGAACGGGGGGCACAAGGGGTGTGCGTGGGTGCCCGGGGCGGGAGGGGGGGATGCCCGTGGGGAGGTGTGGGTACAGGGGTGCGTGTGTGCACGTGGGGGTGTGCACAGGGCAGCTCTCTGCCCCGGCTGGCCGCTCCCCGCTGCCCTCCCTCTGTGCTCTCTGCCAGCAGCAGCAATCCTGCCAGAGACAGCTCTCTCCAGAGGCTAAGGAGCAAGAATTAAGGCCAGACAAGCCATCTGGGTTTTAAACAGAGTGAAGCATTTTAACACTCACAGGGAAATCTCCTACGTTTCTCTAAGTGTCATTCCCAGCTCCTATTTGCAAGGATTTTTCCAAGCCCTTTTTATCCTCTGTTCCTCTCGGAGAGGGGGCAGGGGAAAAAAGCAATTATAGAACCTAAGCTTCTTGGATAAACACTGATAGAGCAACCTCTTTTTCTGCCTTTATGGACAATTTTGTAAGTGCCACAGTGCAGCAGGACCCCGAGACCTGGTAGCAGCATGCCGAGCCTGGTTCCATGTTCCCAATCCACCTTTTCTCCTGGCAGGACAAGATTAAAAAGGAAGGGAAAGACAAGAGGGAAAACAACCTCCATCTCAACCTGATTTTGGGGTATCTGGAGCAAAGGGAGGTTCATTCTTCACATCCAACTCTGCCTGGCCTTCAAAACATTATTTAAATTTCTCTACGAAGGAATTCTGGAAAAATCCCTTTTATTTCTTCACCTAGCTGGAAGTCACTTTATTTTAACTCCCCGTGGAAATGAGCTGCAAGGCATCAGCGTGCTTTTCCTGGCCCAGGCAAACCTTCCTCATGGGTTTCAGAGCGAGTGCCAGGGAGCAGAATTCATTGAGATGGAGAAGGTCAGAACTAGGGACCAATGCTTTTTTCTGTTTCCTTTCTTTCCCCACCCCAACTTCTGTACAGTCAGCAGATTTTTGTCTTGGAATTTCTTGAATATTTTTTTTTTTCTCAGAAAGGCAAAAAAATTTAAAAAATCCTGCAGTCCCAGCTCCAGCAGCCGATTTCCTCTCACCTCCACGTCACAGCGCTCTGCCGCAGTCGGACTCCTGTCCGCAAGCAACTGCTGGGGAGTTCAACCCGCCCCACGCCTGCCTGCTGTCCCAAGGGCTGTCCTCGCTGCCAGCTCTTAAAAACACTGTAAGAAAAGGGAAGAATGAAGTTAACAGAATTAAATTAATCGTTGTAATCTACACCACTCTCCCTCTGGATTTTGATTCTCCCCTGTGCAAGCAGGGCTGGCAAGGAAACGCGACACCAGGCCTCTAGGCCAGCTGGGGAGGCTGGGGGGATGCAGGGCTTCCTGCAGGAAGAGGGGAACATGGTGTATTTTGCTCGGCATCATCCCTGCTGCATTCTTGGCAGCAATTCCTCGCTGGTTTTTCACCAGGCCTGTGCAATCCCCACAGCTGCCTGTGAGTTTCAGAACAGCGTTCACCATCGCCAAGCTCAAGCAAGACACAATGACCTAACTGGAAACGCACTGCCGCACAGAGCGGTCCTGGCACTGATGGGACACAACGACTCGCAGCGAAGAGGCATTTGTAGTTTCAGAGGTGATCAGAAAAGACAGCGGTGTGTCTCAGGAAGGATAAATACAAGCACGGGTCGGCCACTGCTAAGGCTTGTGGGCAGCAGCAGCCAGCACCTTCTCCTCTTGCACAAATCTGGTGCACTGACCTTCAGACTTTCTTCTTTGGTCCTTTAAATACTCGGGTGGCACCTTGTCCGAAGCAGATTGTGGATGGGATCCTGGAAACAGAGACATATTTTAACACACATTAAGAGCCCACGTCTCCCAGGATCACCGGGATACGCTTTATGCCTTATGTAGCTTTTTCAAGCTCCCAGAGTGGGAAGGGCAAGGTACTGGAGGAGCAAGACATCAAAATCACCAGTGTAATTCCAAAAACAATGGGTTAAATACTGGTCTGCTTTCCTGTTTATTCCGCACATTTTGTTTATGTTCTGGGGGCCTCTCCTCTCTTTACAACTGGGTGCCAGGCGTTATAAAATGTAATACACTGTTGGGCAGTTGCAGTAGGTTTTTTGTGGAAGTACATGATCGTGAGGAGCAGGAGAACAGAATCAGAGGTAAAAGCGTGGCCTTTCCACAGCTTTTGATCTGCAGCATCACATCAGATTCGAGGGTCGGCTTCTTTCTAGTTGGTAAGCGAGACAAAGCAGTGAAGTTTAAAACGTCACCCACGACAGCCACTCAGGGACACAACTGCCATTCCGCAGTATCCTGGGAAGAGATCATGGGCAGGCAGACTAACAGAAACTTGTTGACATAGATTTAATGGTGTATGCACACCCTGTCCCCTTTCTTACACTTTCCTCTTTTAAAAACGGCCTTTAAAACACACATGGAAATCCTACGTCCTTTCCTTTCACCAGACACGCCCTGAGCCATGCTGCACGAGGCACCACAAAACACCGTGCGATGACACGGCCCCAGCCCCAGCCAGTTTTGCCCATGGAGGCCAACAGTACAGACCTGGCTTTATAGAGTCGTTTCTCTGGCACCGACGGGCCATGGCTGGCTGCAGGCTGAGGGATCTTCGTGTTCTCACTTGGCCCTATTTCCATGGCGTCCACTTGGAATTGCTCCGATGTCTCCACACTCATATCCATCGGCACGCCGGCACCCTGCTTCATGGGAAAGCTCACGTGCTTTGGGCCACTGCAGACAAAATTTTACATCCTTTCTCAGCAGCTGCCACGGAAGCCCAGAACAAGGGAAATCAAAGGTATTTCATGAGGAAACAGGTGAAGTCCCACTTGGGTGAGTTACTCCATGGAGGCACAGAGCTAGGGCTGTGCAAACCGCCAGGCACAGCTGAGAGGCTGCTGCAGAGCTGCGCGATAGGCTTGTATGAGTTCCGACTTAAGTATTCACAGTTGCTACATAAGAGCACACAGCTTTACACTCATGTTCTTTCCTTCAGCCCACCACGCGTAACTCAGCTAGTGGGCTCAGCAGGTTAGACTGGAGAGTTCACGCCAGGTTAGACAAGCAAGCTTTGAAACACTCCACAGACTCAGCCCCCCGTCCCTCTGGGCACCCACCCCAGGGCCACTGAAGAAATTTTCTCTCCATCCCATCACCCAGGGCTCCGAGAAAGGTGTCAAACAACATCAGTCCTTGTATTAATCCTCGTGGTGAAAGCAGCGCTCGAAACGAGCGGCCAGCTAAGACCGTTAGCCAAACTTACAAAGCCCCTCTCTGCTCTGCTCATGCTTGGGGGGAATGGGGATACAGCAAGGGGTCAGAGACCAAAGCAATGAACATGCACAAAGTGACGCAGAGAGATGCTGGGCTTTGCATTTACACTTGAGATGGCACAAAGGGAGCGGAGCCTGGCGTCACACAGGGAGAGAAATAAGACATGCTTCAGCATTAACATCGAGTAAAGCACTGCCACAGAAAGACTTGCACATTTACCTGTTCTTACAAGCAGCAGCAAAGGTAATTTCTGAAACTCTTAGGATATAAACTTGCTTACTCTGTGAAGGGAGTGCAGCAGCAGAGAAGTACATCACTTCTACAGGGGAAAACCAGCTGTGCTTTGCAGTTCTGCAGTTACCTTTTCACTTTCTTCGGTCTATCAAACCGGAAGTCTGCGGGATAAAGGTGAACAGCGACCAAATGATCCTTTCTGTCCTTGCTGCTTTTGAAATTCTCCACACAGCCTTCTACCAAACACTTGTACTGAAAGGCAGGGGAGGGAAAAAAGACGACATAATTGGAAAAGGCGAGCGGCATCAGCTGGGGACACGGGTGCCCTCCCTGAACAGCCAGGGATGCCAGCCCACACCGTGCACGCTAACCGCGAGCGAAGGGCCAGGCACGTCAACCCACCATGTTTTGCTTCTCAGCCATTATCTGGAAGAGTGAGTCGTGCCACTCCAAGATGTGAATATCCAAGAGATGCCCCGATGGAAAGGAGCGCTTGCAGAAGGAGCAGACGTTCCTGTGCAGCGTGTTGTAGTGGTGCTCGTAGCCCTTCAGCGTATCAAAGACCTGGCAGCACCCAGGGATATGGCAATTGAATTCAGACACCCTGCAAGGAAATTAGGACATCCGTGCCTTAAGTTAAATTAGAGCCTTAATTTAAGCTGCATATATCCCTCTAGATGACTTTGTGTCCTTTTTTTGTGAGTAATACTAGAATTAAACGCAAGGTGCAACTCACAATGGTGCTGCCAGTTAGAAATTCTCATCTGCCGTTATGGCTTCAGCATCGTATACATTATCATGCTGTGAAGCAGTGCTTCCATTAAGAATAAACAAGCAGCAATGTGGGAACTAAGCTGTTTGACCGTAAAGTCGCCGCTGTGGATTAAAACTTTGGGCCAACACTGTTTAAAAAGCATCTGTAGGATAACCTGACACAATCCTCAAAGTAATTCCTCAATTTTATATACATGGAGCAGGTTTTAAAACAAGATGAAGATTCTACCCCTACCCCTGGCTTAGCCTTCATAATTAGGGCTGTCTGTACCACACAGCTCTTCCAATGTGCTGACTGGGTAGATAATAACCTGCCACTTAAATCCTCTTGTTTAGCCACAGTCCCAATTTTCAGACATATTACAGACACCCGACCTGCAGGAAGAACCAGTGACATAACTTCACATCCAGCAAGCAGCCTTTAGACAGACAGCAGACTGCAGCACAAAATACCGAATTCCGACACCAGGACACTGAGGTCTGCAAACCGTATCACCTCATCTTCCTTCTGAAACTGCTTTGCAATACATCCATGTCTTCTGCCTTTTAACTCATTTCTCCTCCTTGGCCCCCGAAGCCCACGGACGAGAGGAGCGGCACCCATCCCAGCCCCTCGCCCGCACAGTGCGAGCAGGCAGGAGTCGGAGCGGTGCCGCAGGCCAGCGGGACAGGGAGCAGGACACACGGGGGGGTGTACGGTCCCTGCCTCACTTACTTGGGTCTCTCCGCCACCTCCGCGAGGCTGGTGAGCACACCCTGCAGGTAGAGGTGTCTGTGAACGTCCCCATCCTAGGAGAGGAGGAGAGAGAGGCCGTGGGCAGGCAGGCCCGCCCCCACCGAGAAAACCCTTCTCCGCGGAGACGGGCCGCGGCGGGGCTCAGGCCCGGGGGGGGACGGCCGTTGCTTGCCGCACAGACCGGGCCCGGAGGCCCAGAGC